GTGAACATGGGCTATGTGCGGAAGTTGAACATACACGGAGCACCCTACGACTTCCGCAAAGCACCAAGTGAGTTAATTTCTGTATTCCAATTCGAAGTGCACTTTGTTAACCATCTAAAATGAATCTCTGCAGATGAGAACAAACAATTCTTCATCGACCTGAAGCAGCTTGTCGAGGAGACCTATGAGGCGAACAACCAGTCAGCCGTCACCTTCATATCGCACAGCATGGGCAGTCCCATGACACTTGTTTTCCTGCAACAACAGACGCTCGAGTGGAAGAATAAATATGTGAGACGGCAGATAAGTTTGGCGGGCGCTTGGGCTGGCAGCATAAAGGCGGTAAAAGTCTTTGCCATGGGCGATGATCTCGACTCGTTCGCTCTGAGTGCCAAGATCCTGAGGGCTGAGCAGATTACACATCCATCGTCGGCCTGGCTTTTGCCATCGCCCTTGTTCTGGAAGCCGTCGGAAGTGCTGGCCACGACACCCTCTCGAAACTATACAATGGCACAGCTTAAGGAGTTCTTCAACGACATTGACTACATGACGGGCTGGGAAATGCGCAAGGACACGTTGCGCTATACACAAAACTTTAGTCGACCCGATGTGGAGCTGCACTGCCTCTACGGCGATGGCATAGACACAGTCGAGAGGTACGCCATCTCTGGCAGCAGATTTTTAAAGATTTCTAAACCAAACAATTGTATATCCAACAGATTGCAGTACAAAAAGAACGATATTGCTGGAGAAACGCCCAAGCTAGTGATGGGCCCTGGGGATGGCACTGTAAACCAACGCTCCCTACGTGCGTGCAAATACTGGTCGGGCTACACGAGCTCACCCATATCGACGCTGGCACTGCAAGGAGTGGACCACATGAAGATTCTATCACATGAAGATGTTCTCCAATACGTTCGCACTGTCATTTCGCAGCCGTAGTCAGACAGTGAAGTTGAAGTGTTTCAAAGTTACGAACAAATTAATGCCAATTTTAATGTTAAATAAATGTGATTGCTTAAGTAGCACAAAATCGAAGAGAGTTTTTCGCTCTCCATCCCTCCCTCTAGCAGTTCTTGGCAATTGCATTTTCTTTAATTTATTCTTTATTGTTATCTTATTGATGTATGCTTATAAGATGAGATATCGAATCACGTGGTAATGTTAATGTCAATGTATAACGCTCTTTATTACTCATTAGTGTTCATCGTTTTTTTTTTATTTCATTTCATTTCTGGTTTAGTTTTTTATTGTTTTTCATGTTCATTTTTAATAGATCATTTGTTTATATGTATTTTACAAAGCGTTTACTTAGATGTACATATTTTTCCATTTAATCGTACCGAATAATTTGTTTTTATTGCACTAGTATTTAATTCTCTCACTTTCCCCTCCACCTTTGCTAATTTATTGTAGTTGACATTGTTGTTTACTCTTGGTATATTTCCATTTAAGGTATNACACAGTCGAGAGGTACGCCATCTCTGGCAGCAGATTTTTAAAGATTTCTAAACCAAACAATTGTATATCCAACAGATTGCAGTACAAAAAGAACGATATTGCTGGAGAAACGCCCAAGCTAGTGATGGGCCCTGGGGATGGCACTGTAAACCAACGCTCCCTACGTGCGTGCAAATACTGGTCGGGCTACACGAGCTCACCCATATCGACGCTGGCACTGCAAGGAGTGGACCACATGAAGATTCTATCACATGAAGATGTTCTCCAATACGTTCGCACTGTCATTTCGCAGCCGTAGTCAGACAGTGAAGTTGAAGTGTTTCAAAGTTACGAACAAATTAATGCCAATTTTAATGTTAAATAAATGTGATTGCTTAAGTAGCACAAAATCGAAGAGAGTTTTTCGCTCTCCATCCCTCCCTCTAGCAGTTCTTGGCAATTGCATTTTCTTTAATTTATTCTTTATTGTTATCTTATTGATGTATGCTTATAAGATGAGATATCGAATCACGTGGTAATGTTAATGTCAATGTATAACGCTCTTTATTACTCATTAGTGTTCATCGTTTTTTTTTTATTTCATTTCATTTCTGGTTTAGTTTTTTATTGTTTTTCATGTTCATTTTTAATAGATCATTTGTTTATATGTATTTTACAAAGCGTTTACTTAGATGTACATATTTTTCCATTTAATCGTACCGAATAATTTGTTTTTATTGCACTAGTATTTAATTCTCTCACTTTCCCCTCCACCTTTGCTAATTTATTGTAGTTGACATTGTTGTTTACTCTTGGTATATTTCCATTTAAGGTATGCTCTATGCACTTATGCACGCTTCTGGGTCGGGTACTTGAGAAAAGTGTCCGCGGACAGCATGTGCTCAAAGGGGGGAAACTGTTTCCCTTGCGTTTAGGAGAAAACTAAAGTTTTTTTGAATGATTTGCGTGTCCTACACGTGGCTTTTAGATAAAATCAAGAAATATGCATGTATATTTACAAATTGTCTCCTTCTCATACAAAAACCGCTGAGCTTTCTATGCTAAAGTGTGGACATTTTCCTTGGAAATTGTGGCTGCCTGCGGGCTGGGCTCTCGCTCTCTCCTCTGGGGGCTTGCAAAGCATATTACTCGTATTTTATTAAATTATTTTTTTTATATTTCGTTAGGTGATCAATTTGTGCGGGTGTCCTTTACTTTTACTGATTTTTTTCTAAATATATACATACACCTTTAAGTATTTTGGTATATATTTGATTTTATGTTCCTGCGTGTGTCAGTGTTGTAAAGTGTGTCTCTGTTGTGAGTCTGTTGAGAGTTGCATTTAAAAAATGTTTTTGTTAGTATTTGATTTTGGGTGTTTGTTTGTTTGTCTTTGTTCAACAAAATTTGTGCTCTCGTTCCATAGTTGCAGTTAGGGTTTACATATGTATATACCATATATATACTATTATATGTAGCTAAAGGTATGACATACTTTTGTTTGACTCAAATCAATGCGTTCTCAAAATCATTACCATACCCCAAACAATTCTCAGCTTCGAGTTCAAAAGTTCTGCGTTCTCTCGTTCAAAGAGTTTTACGTTTAGTATAAAAAATCATTATATCGAAAGTATAAAAATCGTATTTGCCGTACATATGTATGCACTCTTTCTTCTCTCTCGTTTCTCTCATATTTAATTTTTATTTCAGTTTTTTTTTTTCTTTCTTTCTCTGTTTTTTGTTTATTAAATCTCTGTTATTTTTGTTTTCGTTTTCTTAGCAAAAGCGGGTGTATCTTCTTCAAGCAGGTATTCGAATGTTACTTGGCAGGATTATTATTTTCCATAGTACATATATATATAATATATTTTTGTTGTTAAATAGTTTTATAAAAGCTTTTGTATTCGAGTTGTGTGTTTGTGGTTCTGTCGTGGATTATGTATGTATGTAATGTATGTAATGTATGTATTTATGTATTTATGTATTCATGTACGTGGTGTTCGGTTCGTAGTTCCTGTTCGCTTCTGTTTGGTATTTTTATTTGCATTTTATTTTGTTGGATTTATATCTAGTTATGCTTCGTTATTGTTTTATCAGTTGCGAATATTTAGAACTCACAATAGGCGTTGACATTGACGACATAGCTGACAGCTGACGGCTAGCTAATTAATTAATGAAATAATTAATTATCGCTGCTCAATAGGTATCTACAATGGAAATCGCTATCAATGGGAATGATATCAAAATTGATTATTCTTACATTACATTCCTTTTGGTTTTCTTTTTCTTTCGTCTTGTAATTAAATTAATTAAAGCTTTTTCGTGTGTGTGTGTGTGTCTGTGTTTGTGTGTGGTTTTAATCTTGATTCTAATAAATTGTTTATATTTGTAATGAGAAAACTGAATTGTATCCGAATCGCATCCAAAAAACATTCAACAAACCAAAACTCAAAGAAAGTGTAAATTAAATCCTATTTACAATTGGATAATTTACTACTTAATCGCTTAACTACGTTTAGTATTCATTTCAATTTGATCGAATTGAGTTGCTCTCTCATCATCTTCATTAACCATTTAACTAGGCTCCTACATGCATTCACTATTTTGCTTACACATCAGATTTATCAATGTCGTTAATACAATTGAATTGCCATGAATATATTGCTAATATAGTTCCTTTCAAGGATCATCCAAGGCCAGATCAATAGACCTGCCATTACCATTCTTCAATCATCTTCTACCATCCCATCCCATCCCATCCCGAAAGGAACCCTGATTGGTGCTTCGGCTGGCCGAGACTACTTATTGCATAACAATATTATCATCCATCTTAGCTCTGTTGGCTCTGCTTTGCTTTGCTTTGCTTACATGCGTTTGCGCTACACATTTGTAATTAGTTTAGATATCTAGGGCTATGTTAAGGTAATAATTCTTTTCTTTCCTTTGTGGCTCTAATTTTATCCAAATCATCATCACATATCAAAAAGTTTACAAAAATTTTCACTTTAGCTAGTTTTTCTCTCCATCTTTCTTCGCCTTTTATGTTTTATCATAAAACCTTTTATGTTTAGTTCATTTCGTGCGCTTCGAATAAAACATACAACAATGGGCCGTTTTACTGGCGGTTATGGTTCATCGACCCAACAAACATATCTGTTATGTCGTTCGTTAATGATTAACATAATCAACAGGTTGATATATATTCTAAACAAATTGTTAGCTTCGCTTGTAGTTTCGCAGACACTACGAATATCTCTATCATATCATCATGTAAGCAGTAACGCCTCTTTCTTATTATTTCTTATTAATTTTCATTTGATCATTTACCATTCTCGGGAGACTTTTCATTAGTGTACGTGGTGTGGGCATGTAAAAGGCATTTGTTCGGTTTCTGTGATTTCTCTTTTTAAAATTATTTTTGTATTTTAAACATTCGGTTGGTTACATGCTCGCACTTTTGTATGTTTATAGACGAGGGTCCTAGGGGGCTTACTTTTCCGTTGGAAGAACTCAACTCTGCCGAAAACCCAGCACCTCAGTCAGGGAGCCAAACAAAAATCTATGTGTTGTATTTATTTATTGAACTAAATCGTGTGATCTGAGGCGCATGATATATTTCGATTCACTCGTGCTCCAAACATAAATTGACATTTTTCAAACTGGTTTAAAAACTAATATTGCTCTTGGTTAAACGAGTTAAGTGTTAAGCGATCCTTTGTGTCTAGTCGTACATTTTGTGGTTTACTTCTCTTGTGCTCTTGTGTTAACAACAATTCCTTATAAGCTTACGAGTCCAAAACGAAGGTCTAGTTCAAACATAAACAGAACGATTTTCGGTCGGTTGCTTAGAGTGTAAATCAATAAAATTGTGTCTAATTGATGTAACAATTGCTTTTGTTTGGTTTATGTATCAACAATTATGACGCGCACGCCAGGGGTTTATAACTCTACGAGTAAAATAGACAGACAAACGGACAAGACAGGTTTAAACACAAATAAATGTACAGCGTGCGCGTTCCTTCTGCTTTAATTAACATTATTCACAATTTCTTTAGTTATCATTTTACTATACAAGCTCTCTCGTCTACGCTTTGCTTAATTCTTGTAACAATAATCTGTAATCTGTGTACTGAAACATTCCCAAATCGGCCCAAGTTGCGTTCACTTGAAAGAAATCTCTGACAGAGAACTTACAAAATCCTTCGAAGCATTTGCTGAAGTTTGGGGAAGCGATTGAACAGTTTTCACATGTAACATTTAGTAATAATTTTCTTAATTTTTGAATTTTCTGTTAAACATTTCATTCATGTGAACAAACCTTTATTTGGATTTTTATGCATTCTCCCGTGTGTTGCAAAAATGTGCATATGTTTATGTCTATCTGTGTGTGGCTCGTGTCTGCTGGCTGCTGGCGTATAAAAAATTGTTACTATAATTGTTTACGTTTAGCGGAATGACGTTCCAGCGAATAATTGGATTTGGGACTGTCATTGGGTTTGGGGTGCTCGTGTAACGACTGTCGTTCGAAATGGAATCTCTTGTTGATATCGCAAATGAGAACAGCGACCAAAATAAATTAGCCAGGCACATGTTGAATCTCAATCTCTGAACTAGAGCCTGTGTCCCAGTGTCAGACTGGATGGCTCTGGCTCGCCTGCCCGTTTTTCGAGGGTGCGGAGGTCTTCTGCTGGCGCGCCACCAGTCGACGCTCCCGCCAGCGATCGATGGGCGTGTAGCAGCACCTGAAGAAGGGGGGCGCCCGCGTGCTGGACGAGCTGCTGGCGCTGTTGCTGAGCTTGGCCAGCGACTCCACGGTCAGCTCGGTCTGCACGCCACTGGTGGTCAGCCGCGACTCCGCCTGGTACTGGTATTGGTACTGGGGCGGCGGAGTCGTGGCCAGGGGCGCACCCGCCTTGCAGATGACACTGGGTGGCTCCATCTCGTGCAGCTCAAAGCTGTTTGAGCTGCTGTTGGTCGAGGGCCGAAACTCGTGCGAGCTGCTCTCGACCATGGCAGTGCGATAGGTAGCGGCAAAGTAGTTTGTCTCCAGATAGTGGCAGGACTCGAACAGATAATCGTCGAACTGCTGCAGCCGCACCGAGCTGGCGGTACTGGAGTTATGACCGCCAGAGGCAAAACGCTGTCCCTGCTTGTGGGACTGCGTGGATGGTGATGGCGGCGACGCAGGCATCATTATCAGCGAGCTCGACGCCATGGGTGGACGTGGACGCGGAGGCGGACGCTGTTTTCTTTGCTTCATATCAACAATTTCTATTTCTTCTATATCACTAAAACTATTTAACTGTTTCAACAAATAATGCACATCATTTCGTTTCATTTGATTATCCTCGTCGTGGTGGGGATGATCATCGTCGTGAAGGGCGACCGCTTCGTTATCTTCCTCTCCTGATTCCGCAGCTGATTCTGCTGCTACTTCCTGTTCTTCCTCCTGCGCCGTTGCTATCGATTTGTGTGCTGCAAATGTTAATGGAGTGCTGGCAACGGCGCCTGAGCCACGATCTACTCTTGGTGTCCCCTTGAGGCTGTTGATCGTCCTGATCGCATCATGCTGTTGCTGCTGTTGGGGAATCAACTCTGGATAGGCCAAATTGAAGCGCTGCTGCAGCGTTGCACTGCTCAGCTGTGGCAACGTTGGCACTGCCGCCATTTGGGGCCTCTCCAGCGTAGAGTCAATGATGCGATTGAATTTAGCTAATGCTGTTGATGCTGCGGCTGCCGATGAACTGGATGCTGCCGATGATGTTCTGGTTGCGGTGATCTTAGTTGTAGGTTGTTCGTTAAGTTGAGGCACTGTTGTGACGGTTCGTAGATTATCACCAGCCCGATGGCAACGCCCACTACTGCTCTGACCATTATCGGCGACGACTAAGAGAGCTGAGCTAAGCTGTTCCTCCTCCTCCTCCTCATTGAGTTGGTACTCAGCTTCAGCCTCATCGTCATCGCAGACATCCTCATCAACATCATCAATATCAACGCCATCCTGCAACGTCTCTTGCACATTCAAATTGAGATTGAGGTGGAGCTGCTGCCGCAGCAGCAGGCGGCTCGTCTTTGTCTCGATGCCAGGCACATTTGGTGGTGCGCCCGCTCCTCCTCCCAATCCACGGCCGGCGGCTATGACAGCCGCTGCCCTCTGCTGTGCCGTTGCCTTAGCTAAATTCTTTTGTAGTATCAACCTCCTCGACGAAATGATGTCATTATTGTCGCTCCCCCGCGATTACCGGCTGTCGCGGGTGGAGCGAGGCCGCCCCTAACTGGACGTGCTGGCGATGGGCGAGACGGGTGACAGCGGGCTGCGGGCCTGCTCGCGCGGGCAGCCAGTCAGCGTGATCACCAGCTTGCGGGAGCCGGCCTGGTCCCGATGCTCGCACAGCCAGACGCCCTGCCACGTGCCCAGCGACAGCTTGCCGTCCGTAATGGGGATTGTCAGTGAGCTGCCCAGAAAGCAGGCCTTCACGTGTGCGGGCTAACAGAAGTAAAGGAGGTTCTTTAGGTTAATGTGAGGCTTCCGAGATTCTGATTCACTCACCATGTCGTCGGGTCCCTCGCACGAGTGTCTGTAGGGCAAGCCTTCGGGAACTATTTTGTTCAACATCATCTCCATATCGTCTCTGCAAATGCGGATTGTCATTTGATATTCATTTATAGATTTTTAACTTGCTCTTCACTCACCTGACGTCTGGATCCCAGCTTTCGTTTAACGCCAAGCTCGCCGAGGTGTGAAGAACTGCAAGGCAGAGGAGAAACAAAGGCAATTAGTGTGTGTGCTGTGCGACTAATCGTAATCATAATCATAATCTGTGTGGAGTGATTGGCCTCCTGGTTATTAGACCAGCACGAGGCAGGCGTTGGTTCGGCTCGGCTCGGCTCCCAATGCATTTCCAATTGAGTTGCAACGCCAATTAGTCCTCACACTTGCACCCACAGCAACAGACCCACTGCAGTGGGAGGCCAGCTAATGAAAGTCAGTCATGGGATGATAATGGATATTCATGGATAGTCCACATCAATTATATGACAAGGCAAGATCACGTATGCCGTGAGGATTTCGAATTCATTTTTGAGTGTAAGCTTCAATGGATTTTATTACCATTTGCGTGGTTGTGCGTGGATTTGGGTTTTACTTTCAACACTCGACTGTAATCTGGACTGTAAGCTCTCAAAACAATTTATAATCATTTCAAACCTTAAATAAATTCCTCGCAGTCCCCTCTTCTCTACGTAACCAACGCCCAGCCCATCCATGTCTTATTTTGAATCACTTTCTCTGACACATTTATCGTCCTCATGTTGGGGTATTGGCCAGGTAGAGCCTGACATGAGCATGTGTGGACATTGGAATCGGAATCGAACAACAATTGCCTACACTCGTGGCCGGAATTGGCCAACTGCCAAAGCCAAAAATGTCAAGCAGAGTCGAAATTTAATAGTTTAAGCCAGTAGAAGAGCCACACAAAAAACACTTAAGTTTTCCAAATTAATTGCGTATTCATGAATAAAAGATAGAAACAAAAGGAGAGTGAATTAGATTAGTCAAGTCCCCGAGATCTAATTGTATGGCCCATTGCCACATTACATTTCTCAGACAGCAAAAAATGTACAAAATTATTGCAGAAGAGTTTCGGAAAGGGATTGGAATAGAGGAACAAGTCCCAACGCTAAGTCGGTCTCAAAACCTTGCCTAAACATCCATAAATGTCTACGATAACACCATTCCCCATCGCATCACAGCATATATCACCCCTTCGCATCGCTTTAAATAAGTTAATGGCCTAAACATAATTGTAGAGTAGAAGCAGGAGCAGGAGCTTCGTGGACATTCATTCTTCGCTTAAACGGCGCAACCGCCTGGAATAGTGCTCGAGTGACACTCTTTTCCATTGCACCAAACCATAAACGGAATGCAGGGCACGAAGCGGAAGGGTGGTAAGCGGTGGTCGGACTGTCGGTCGAGGTTTGCCTCTAATATGATTTAGCCCTGGTCCTGTAGAACAGAGGCTCTGTTTGCCCACGGCAGACCACAGCCATGGCTCGGAGGCTAATAAACATTTGTGCGCTGAACAAAATACTCAAGTAGGTTGACTTTTTATCGTACGGAATACTGAATATTGGCCCATCTGTGGTTTTTCCTTATCCTTACTGCTCCAAAGAGTGAGAGTCGCTAATCTGTAACATGGTCCAGATTTTCTGCACCTCAATGTTTTGTTTCAGTGTAGAGAAGACATCGTTAAGTAGCAGGTGCCATCGTTTTGCCGGCTGTTCGACTGTGTCGGGTTGTGTGTTCCGGGTGGGGTTAACAGGCTGGGTGCCAAAGGAGGGGATGGTTTGTCTGTGTTCCGGGCACATGTAGCAGGCGGTTAGGCACTACAAAAGTTGCTAATGTTTTTAAAGAGGCCTTTTTATTATACAAAGTCAAACATTCTGACGGCGCAAACACAAGCACAAAGCACACCGTACCCACACACACACACACAACCGCAATAATCTCATATTTAGCCATACATATGTACATATATATGGATGTATGTTTATACACGGTACTCAGGGCATGAATAGGGTATACTAGCTTGATAGACCGTCAACCGTCTTACTGCATATTTGCGAGAGGTAGGAATCACGGAGCAGCTCGCAGCGATGAGTGGAGTTGCTCCTGATCGGAACTAGTTCAAATTCCATAACTTTTGAGGCCAGCAACCCGAACCGGGGCTGTTCCTGTTTTTCCTCCTGCAGAGGTCACAAAACAGGAATCACGCAAAATCCCAGTGGCAGGTGCTGCTGCACCCTAGCGAAATCAGGTACAGAGCTTTTTGCATAAATAATATTGATTTGTTGGTGGCAGAGCATTTGCGGTTCATAGGCGAACAATCATAATGCTAAGCAAGCCACCAACACCGGCAGAACAGAAGAACAGTAAGGAGCAAAACGAAACGGAACAAAACGCACACAACGGAAGCCAAAAGTATGACACACACATGGCACGTTTTTAGCTGCCTCCTTTTGGAGTGCTTTCGTCTGTTTGTTCTTTCTCTATGCATTCTCGTTCTCATTCTCGTTTGGCGTTTTCGTCACGAAATTGTAGCCAAACAGAAAGCGAAATGGCGGAGGACGCCCACACAAATATGTTCCTAATGCTGAAGGCTCCACCGAAAATCCTTACTTCATTCGGAACCTCTTCTCTGCCTCTCTGCTGCTCTAATCCACAAATTGGTTTCACTTTCTGTTGATTTATTTGGTGTGTGGTTCCTTTATTCGCCACACGCACACATCCACACCCGCAAAGAACATTCTTTGAATTAAGGAGTTCTTTCCGTGTTGTTCTTTTGCAGCTTTTCGCTGTTGCACAGCTGAATTGTACATAAGCACATACCATATGTAAATGTACATAAATACATACGTACATATGTATGTATGAATCTGCATATGATCTGGCGATTATGAACATTCTTATTATAGTTGCCCGGCCCCATACCAGTTTAAATTTTCTGAAGATAAGATTTAAATAAAAGACCAAGCCAAAGTCTAGAGTGCAACCAGCCCAGTTGGTTTTTCCTTACGGGAGCATACACAATTTCTATTTGTTCTCCATGGAAATGGCGAAATGGCTCGAATTTATGCATCCAAATGAACGGTCATTGTGTGGCCAAACAAGTGAGAGACTCCATAAGTATTTGCTCCGCTGTGGCACCCGACCTTTCATTTCCTCAAACACTGCACATATGAATATTAATAATACAATAATAAAGCCAAAAAGGAAGCAAGTCACTGCGGGGAACTACATACATACATAGAATGTATTCTCCATCCAATCCAGGTGGAAGGCGAACACTACTTTGGTGGATATCCATATAGACATATGTATGTATGTATGTACATATAATTTTATAATATTTCCCCGCATTCCGTTACATTTCCATATTTCTTGTTTGTTTGTGTTTTGTGTTTCTACTTCTCGTTTTTATTCGTTCGTTTTTTTGTGTTTAACAAGTTACCGTTACTTTTGGCTTATATTTTCAGTATTTGTGATTTGTGTGTTCTCTGGCACTTCTTCTCCATACCTCATCCCCCGATCCCTTCCTTCCATTGTTTGTGCATTTCCCCATAGAAACAATGGAGGACAAGGCGGCTCGACAGAGACAGAGAAAACGGAAAGGGAGGGTAGAGTATTCAGGTCAATAGTAAAAGACAACAGCTTATGGCAAGGTTGCTTTGAAATTATTTTTCCTTTTTTTCGAAATTAACTTTTTTCCGCCTCTGCTAGGAACAAGCGCGATTGAAAATGAAAAGATTGCATTTATTTTTTTGGATGGTAGTAAACGTCTGAGACATTAATTTCCCTTCCCCTTTCCCGCCCTTGCATATAGTATCCTCACAGTAAAGTGTGTCTAATTAGGAAGTCCTTTTAAGAAAATCAATAAACATGTCTTGACCTCAATTAGAATCCGCTTACAGTTCACAAAACAATACACGTATTACAGTGAGCACCCCAGACAACAAACACGCACAAGAGATCTTACAGAAATAAGAAACGAAGGGAGGCGCTGAACAGGGGCCATTGAGGGACACACGTGCTTTTGATTTGGCCAAAAGGCGAAGCGAAAGAGAGAACGTAAAAACGAGACGGAACAGAGATACAGAGAGAGAGATAGAGAGAGAAAGAGAGGGTACAGAATAATAAAGACCTGCCTTCCTGCCTGCCTGCAATGTGCTGGCTAAGACGATTTGTGGGGCAGAGACGTGGCAATGGGGTATCTAGAGGGAAGGGCAGGGGTTCGCCCAGAGTATTCACACGCCATAGCCACAGACCATGACATGAAGAAGACGACGATTGCTTTTCACTTTAGTCAACTTTAGCTCCAACTCCCTTTCAGCCTTCCAGCGGCCCCTGAACCAGCGCCCCTGGCCTCGCGCGTCTACTGCCGTTTTATGATACGATTTTATTTATTTGCCCACGAATGAATAGAGAGAGAGAGAGAGAAAGAGGGCCAGAGAAGCCGCAGCACCAACTCGCGTCCTGGCATTGTAATACGCACTGTCAACAAGAAGCTGCCCCGAAGGCAGAGAGGCAGGCAACTGTGGAGGTTCTTCTCAGTTTGCCGTGATTCCTCCCCCATCATCCAGGGCCACTGCTTCGTGTTTCGTGTGCGTTTTGGGGGATGTCAGAAGAAGTGCAAAGCAAGGATTACGCACGAGAATTAGTGTGCATGGAGAATAGAGCACAACAACAAAAAATACTTTGGATAACTGCAATCCAGAGGTTATTGCGAATGCATTCCGGTTGCGGAATGCAAAGATCAAACAACCAAGGAACCCACTTTGCTAGTTGCTCCAAGTACATACATTTAAAAACTAGTTCTCATCCGATATTAACTTCAATCTTTATTTTAGTACACCCCTTGTTGGGGTTTCGTTCATTCCATTCTCCGTTTGTCACATCTCTACCCCGAGCATCTTAATAAGCCTCAACACGACATCTCCCATTTAATTTGCGAAAACTTCTCTCTCCTTGCCATGTGGGTCAACGCAGTTGGTCCACACAGTTTAGCCATGTTTAGTCATAGACTCGTTCTTTTCGCAATTCCCATCGAATGTCAATCCTGATTTTCGGCATCTCTCCAAGGAGACTGACCAGAAGGAGTGCAATAGATGACCAACTGTAGTTTAACCCAGTTACCCAGTAATATAGATGAGCTGCAGCCCCAAACATACCCTCCATTCGCTCACCCTGTTCTGGTCTCCCAATTTAAACGAAATGAAAGTTTCAGCTACTATTTTTGGTGTACACTTCTGATTTGCTATGCAAGCCCCACATTGTGCTGTATGAACAAGTGAACTTTGCACTAAGTTTGGACGCCTTGGCCGTGCCGAGATTCCCCGAGAGTAATCCAATCCCAGAGATATTTGGGGGGAGCATGGACAAAGGAAATGTGATGCCAAAACCAGTGACAGTGGGAACCCGACCTGTGCCGTTAAACTTTTCGATTGCCGAGCCAGCTGCTCGACAGACTGAAGAGTATAAATCGTTATGGAGGGGGAGTGTGAGATGTGGAGGGAACGAGCTACAGATGTAGTTCACAATTAATTGACATATGCACTCGGTAAACCATCAATAACTGCTTGGGGGATGTGTTGCTCTACTCTACTCACTCTGCATATGACATAGTCCCACGGAGAAGTGAGCCAGCTCCGGCATCTGTCTGAGTATCTCCTCGGTTACCAGATGGACGCCGCGGTGCTGTGGCCTTAGATTGATTTTGCGCTGAAACCACGCTGAGCCGATCTGCAGGCCCACGATGGCGTTGCCGTCCCCAGCGCCGGCCACGGCCCCGCCAGCGCGCCCGCTCCGATGGTTGGCTGAGGCCATGGTGCTATTGGAGCTGCTGCTCCGGATGTTGCTGTTGCGACTGACGCTCTGCTTGACGCCGCCACCGCCTCCGCCGGCGCTGCCAGCTCCACCGCTGCCGCTGGTCGCTTTCGTTGTGCCGGCGTGGGGATTACTGCTGCTACTGCGACGTCGCTGGCCGCTGCGTCCGCCGCTGCGTTGATTGTTCCCTGCAGCTGCTCCCGCTCCTGCTCCTGTCGGTGGGCTCTGGCGTGCAGCGGCGGCGGCGGCGGCGGCAGCAGACGACGTCGTTGGTTTGGAGGACGACGTTGTGGCTTCTCAGGAAACTCGCGCACTAACACACTTTCACTGGCACTGGCACTGCTACTCGCTTTCGAAGTGGCAGAACTCGATATGCCACAAGCTTGTACACTTGACTGGCTGGCTGGCTCTGTACTTGTTTCACTTTTCCGGATATTTACTTTTCCCTTTTCCGCCTGGCCAAGCCCTTCTTTGTATTAATTTATTCTCGATTATTGCCACTTGTTACCGTTATCAGCGCCTGCAAGAGTACAAGAGAGAGAGAAAAGACAGGGAGTTAGTAGAACCGTTCGTTCACAGGAGAAATAATGGAAATTAAAAGCAATGTCCCAGTGTGACCAGATGCGACACGAAGTTTAAAAACCGCTATGCTTGTGTGACATCACCAAATCAGTTTTGAAATTTTTAAATGTTATTAAAAGCATTTGTAAGGCCGCAACAATTTTACATATTTCATCTAATGAACCCCAAATAAAACCGATTAGTCCATTCCAGAGTACATTTTTACGTCAGTGTCATACAGGCTTTCCTTAGAAAGACGTGACATCATGGATAGTCCAATTACTAATTTATTTTGAAGCAAACTTCAAGTAGTTTAATTACCAGAGTCACCTTATAGGGTAGTACTATCTATCGTTGACTTCCCTCCCCTTCACTGGTCTACTGACTACATAAATCAAATACTCATATTATTGCTTAGGCGTTGTTTCTACATCCCAATTAGTATATTCAGCCAGGGAGAAGCGCCCACAATCAACAAGTTATTAATTGCCAAACGTAAACAGCAAACACGACCAGCCAGCAACTATTATAGTTATCAGAACGCCAGGGGTGACCTTCTGGAAGTCTACACATGTACATATGTATGTCTATGTACGTACATATGTATGTTTCTGTTCTGCTTTAAATGTTTAGTGCAAAATGTAGGCCTGCATTTAGTCATAATAAATAAAGTGGCCTTAATTAGAATAAATAACGAATTTAGCTTGAATGAAAAGTGTCGGCTTGTGTTATATTAATATAAAAGAATTATAAAACAGACTTTAGCCTATTGTGTATGAAAAACCTAAGAAAAACAATTCTTAGTCTGTTCATATCAAAGGGAATGTTTCGGCTCGTGTGAAGGAAAAGAGTTGGGAAGAGTACAAAATGTGAAGTACCATTCGAAACGGAATAATGAGCACGTGTCGCCAAGTGGGCCAGAGGGGAGACAGGCCTAGGATTGTTGGCCTAGGAGCGCTCTCGTGCGAGTGGGAAACAGAAGCCAAAAAAGAGGAACAGAAATATAGAGCGGAATCAAGGAAAATGGTGTTTAAAAGTCCCTCTTTTCCTATGTTCTCTCTACACTCTGGTACACTCTCGTGGCTACGAGTTGAGTGTTCTCACAAATACAACCGAAAAGCAATCGAAATGCATTTGAATTGAAGGAAGATTGAAGGCGCTGCCAGAGCACATGGAAACCCGCTATGGGTTCGTACGCCTGTAGTATTAGTAGTAGTAGTAACAAAAAAAAAGTTCACACACACGAGCAGCGCTCAACAAAAAAAAAGGCAGCACTTGCCACACAAACGATTTACACGACACTAAAGGCGGCCACACGCCAAGAACTCGACAAGTGGGAAGTGTGCATGGGCGGGGTGGGGTGGAGGCCAAAGAGGTGCAAGATGGAGATGAGCTGATGGAAAACTAAGGCGACACGAGTACATATCTGGATCAGCAAACATTTATATGTGATATACTGAATATGTGCTGTAGAAAGACTCCATTCAGTTGGCTCTTGTATAATCACGAAATGTTCATGAAACTTGGGATCGCAAGCCGAAAGAGGAAAGCAAAGCCGTCTCTCTTTCCCGTCATGGGCGGGCAACCAACAACTACAATGAGAAGCGCGTTAAGGCCGCAGCCAGGTACTTTATACTTTTTAAGGGGCCACTGTTCAAATTTGCATATGCTTTAAATATTTAATGTAATTCAAAAAGAGGAGACAAGTATCGTGCCAGCCGCAGCAGCAGCAATTGGACAAGGCTTGCCCTCTCGGAGTCCAATTGGACTTCCCGACACCACGAGATGGAGCTAGAGGCATAGCAAGGGGACTGCCATCAAGGCAACACACAGAATTGTTCGCGCATTTGGCAAAAAATCAATTTTCAGTGTGATTGCCAAATACAATTGCAAAAGAATCAAGGCGGAGAAGGGAACATGCAAAGCAGAAGATCCAGCAAAAAGAACAAAGCATAATTTAACTTTAGACGCGCTCTGGGGAACACCTTCGGGCGAACACAGTTTTTTGCAGCCTTTCGGCCTTTTATTTTTACACTGTTAATTATTGACATAACAAATGGGAAGTCTCCGTCGCTCTTTCCGCGCACTCACTCCGCCTTCTGATGACGCCAACGTTGACAGCAGCACACGCGAAATTGCTTAAATAAAGAGGAGAATAACACAAACAGACCGAAACTAGAGCTTATAATTTTCTACCGTTGGCGCTCTGCTCTGCTTTGCCTTTTGGCGATTCTTCGAACGAACGGGGACTTTTGGGACTGAGCTCATATAGGTACGTACACCTTCAGCACAGGGAATCGGCAGCACACATAAATCAAGTTAGGCATACAATTTAAATGCACTTAATTACATCTAATTCGTGTTTTGCTTTTGTAACTTTATGGCAAGAGTGCCGCTGCTGCAAACCGTGAAGCTAGAGATGAGCGATAGCCGGGTCATGTATTTTAAAGTAGCGAGTCACGGATCTGAGTTGCTGACCAAACAAATCACAGTTTTTAAACTTTTAAACTATTAACAAATACATTTCAAACCAATGGCTATTGGCTAACAAAACTGTCGAATATTGTGTAACATCATATTTCGTAGGGAGTCAATTATAAATGTTGAATTTTCGTGATTTACACAAACACTTTACACACGTCTTGTACGTATTTCACACAAGCTAATATCGGGACAATCGATAGAAATTTCTTAAGCAAAAAGAAATAAACTATCAGATAAATTTTGATACCGTTATCTTGAGAATGATGAAAATATTTAATGAAATTAAATACAAATGAAATAAATCTAATTTAATGCAATTTCAGCTTTCTTTCACTTGGATATCGATACCTTGGCGGCGATAAGCGTGCAAGTAAAAGCGCTTTTGTGAATTTTATTTACATTTAAAATGTGTCCTGATTTTGCATGTGTGTTTAAACGAACCAAAAAGCGGTGCTTACTTTTGCTGGGGATTATTAGTTTGTGGCTGAAGCTATTGTCGAAGCCGAGATCGGGATCTTTGTGCATTTTGGAGTGGCAATGCGAATGCAACAACAACTACGGAGATATGGTCGTTAGTAGGTCGAATAATGCTGCGTTCTGCGTGCGGCGGCTAAATATAACGTTTGGCTTTGGCGCTACACTCGTTACTCGTTTTTTATGTGGCCAATTCACAAAATGTACATTTTTTACACCTTTCACACACACCCACGGGCTTTACGCTCACGCTCGCACACACTGGCACGTTTTCCTCTTTTCTTTTTCGCTTCTCGCACTCTTCCTCTCCTCTCCACCTTCACGACAGCAATTTCGGGAGCGTTGCCCGTTGTTTTTGTTTTTAGTGGTACACCATAGAGATTTTTTTTTTGGTAATGTAGGTTAGCTCCATATCCTATTTTCTTGATTGCTACTTGACGGATGCTTGTGGGTGATTTTCCTGCTGCATTCATCCGCAGCAGCTGCATGTTACCAAATGGGTGACTCCCATCAGCATGGGCCACATGGGCACAGATTTCGCTTGAAACATTTTTCACTGCCTTCAGCCCGTTTTCAATACCAATTTGGGTGCATTCGGAAGGGGCGGAATGGATTCCCGATATTCCTGCCTTTACCCTTGTCTCTGCTCCGGTTTTCAATAAAACTTCATGGCCCTATTACATATGTACTCCGTGCACACTCACACATACACACGAGCCCGATGCGAGGATAAAACAGCACACAATTCGACGTCCTCTTCTAACCAACAGAACTTTGCCTGTGTGTGTTGACTTTTTCTCTTTGCTTTTTCAATTTTTTTCTTTTTTTTTTTCGTTATGTTTTCTGCTATATTCGGATACTTTTCTGCGACGAATTCAAGTAACTGGACTTTCGCACGGTTGCATTTTAGGCTGGATATTTCAGTATTTTGTTTTATTGCGGTATTGGTGTTTAGTATGTAAATGTATGTAAGCTATTAACAGAGAAACATTTATATGAGCCATGTTAACGGATAACATTGAAAATGATTGAAAAATAGCGCGCGCAACAAAAGAGAAAATAAATTCTACAGCCTTTCTCACTCCTAACAAAATATCAGTTGCCATCCCGATTATCTTGTATCCAAAGCTTTGGAACCGTCTGCATGGCCTGAGCACATGCATGCATTTCTGCCTAGAGATTCTACCCAGAATCCTAGAGTTGCTGTCCCTAAGACTTCAAAAAAGTAAAGAATTCTATTCAACTATAATTCATTTCTCTATCAAACATCAGAACGGAGAGTACCTCTTTTAAATTCGACGCTGTTTCCTCTAAAACTCCTCAAAAAATTCTTGTTGTTCGTCAACTCAAAGTGTAAGTCAAAATATTGTGAAAAGTATATAATATGCCTTAAGTGAGTGGCTCACTCGCTCCTTTAACGGTAACGTTCCTGCACCTGCGCACAGTCTGGCGCAAAGGTGCTGCCATTTGTAGGTTCCGATTTCAACTCCTATCGATATTCCGATAACATGTTGGTTTGAATTTAAATTTGTTTTCGTTTATACTCTTAAGTAAGGACTTAACTGTTCTTGTAAATGTTGAAATTCACCAGTTTTATATGTGATAAACTTTTAATGAATTCCCTTTATTTTATTTTATTTTATTTATGTACTGTCATCCGAAGGGACACGCTCCCTTAACGCAATTCTAGTAATTGCAATCACACACATAATTCCAAGCGCCCTACCGAAGCACGCCAACCGCTAAATGTCACAGTCATTAGACTAAATTCTGGCGTCTCCGGATCCCGCCCATACCCCCGAAGATACCAACCCATCGTCCAAGGATCCCATCAAATTGGGTGTGACCAGCAGGTGGCCGCCTAACTAACCATATATATGTACATATGCATGTTTTCTTCGCTTTGCCTAGCACCAGCTTGTGGCACCAGAGCAAAAATTACTTTACTGTGTCGTGCTGTTGAGGCACGCGGAGCCGCACCCAGTTTCTTGGTCTAGAGTCGAGTTTGTTGTCATTTTCGCTTTCATATCCATATTCACAGGCACAGCCACATCCACAAAGGGAGGACCTGCTAGTGAAATATCTAGCATTACATTTGGGGCGGTGTCAAGGGGAGGTTATTCTATTTCTTTGTTTGTTTTTTTACAAGTTTGCCATTTTGCCCCATACAGGGTGAGTATCCCACTCCCGTTCCACTTATTTGAATACCTTGCGTGGATTCCAGGGATCCAGCTCGTCTAGCTCTGTCCATGGACAGCAGTCTGCACTGGATAGGCAAAGCAGCCAGACGTATTCGGGCGTAGGATTCGAGCCTGCAGCAGTTCATAAATCATCCAAAAAATGGATGACAATACAGACTTCCGTGACGTTTGGCTGGAGACCGTGACCATTGGGGGGTTTCGTGTTTGGCACATAATAGCCGCTGTCCTGGGCATACTTATGGGAATCAGTGAGTGAACAATGCCGTGCTTGCCACTAAAAGGTTGAGCATATTGTCGTATCTTTATCTCTCTCAGTGATTATGGTCTGCTGTTGCATACGATTCCGCATACCGCGCACCAAACAGGAGATCGAGGCGGACTATCAGCGCAAGCAAATCACAAAAAAGTTTCGCGAGAAGCTGCAGCAAATTAAGAACTCGGAAATGGACGATATGGACCTACAGAAGGGTGAGGAGTCCTCGCTACTCTAAACCTAAATCTGCTCTAAATACACACACTCCACTTGTATATACACATCCATATACATAGCGTAGAAGTTTTGTGTACCAACTGTCCCAGTTTTGTTGTCACCCTTATGCGGCCAAGCCCTTTTGCTGTGTCTGTTCTGGTCTCTGCCTCAGCCACATTTTCGCCCTCCCACACGAACTCACGCATTTGTATTTGTATATAGAAAAGAATTAAAATGATAAACGATTCCTTGAGCTGGACCTGCTTGCACGCTAGTTACGAGCATGTTATACTTTATACTCACTCTGTCTCCTCTATCTCGCTGCCACTTCTCTATCACAGCACTTGCTTACATCAAACTGGAACAGTACGATGATCCCTAAGGGCTTGTAAATTCACTAGCACACTGTACAAACTATTGGAAGTACCCAAGAACTAGCCTCTGTATCCCAAAGAACACTGCCAATGTAAGTAGCACATCCAACCACAACTCGTTTAACTAATGCCATCAGCAATATGTCTCTTGCTTCCCATTGCAGTTTGTGTTCGAATTCAAAGCGATTTACTGAACCTCCAGGCGAGCGTGGAGAGCATGAACGAGAAGCAAAATGTTAAGTTTAAGATCTAGATACGGAACTGTTACTAAACTCTATATGATATGATGTGAAGTCAAGTGTGTTGGTATCCTATACTATATAACTCTAGCAAGATAAAAGCTTACAAACTAGACAAGCAGGGAATTTTCATATTGAAGAACATTAATCACACGTCTCCTCATCCTGTTATACGACTATGCAAACAATAAAAGAAAAGTTATATTAATTGCAATTTGGACTGCTGGTTTTATTAATTCTGTTTGCTTTCTTCTTTTTTTGTGGTATCAAAGGATCGTTAATAATTTGTTTGCTTGCAGGATTATGTTTTAAATGCGTTTTCTACACATAAATACATACATAGAGTTGGCTATTTAGGGCTTCTCTTCCTGTTGGGGAAAGTGTTTCCCGCAATTGAGACTATTTAACAAGTTGTTGGAATATCGCAACGCACTCGTTTGATCTGTTATGACATGATATTTTCATTGCGTTTCTGCACTTAAGTTTAGTTCATTTGTTAGTTTAAAATTTGCTTCGACCTGGCTAATGACTGTAACAAATTTGCCGAGGCTGACACTGACATTGGCTCGACACAAAACACTCACAAGTTTATCAATTATTTACGAATAACTATTAATTCTTTGTTCATTATTTTGCTGAGCTTACATTTAGCCTTAACTTTCAGTTTGGAATACTTTCTTTTCTCTACATATTTGTCTCTGCTGCAAAGCAACGCGTTGCATTCACTTCTTGCATTTGAATAGACAATTATTATTTTTTTATATTTATGTATATAAAAACAACTAAACATACTGCACGCATCATTCCATACGTTTAAATGTTCTCCCCCTGCAAAAGAAACGTTGAAATTAGTACAGCCCCAGCAGATCTCGGACCTGTTGCCACTCACGTTATGGTTTTCTTCTCAATATTCTTGGGCTCAGGCCTTGCACGATTTAGCACCTTGAGGAAATCCGAGGTTTTTGCACGCATGCGGGAATGAATGTAGGCCTTTGAACACTATTGAAAAATAAAACGGTCAGTACCTGGTAACTTCTAGCAAACTCGGATCATACGCACCTTGATGTGGTAATGCAAATAATCTCTGAACATATGTATTAGATTGATGGTATTGTCCCTCGTTTCTTTGTTGGTATGCCGAGGGAAGAGCACTGTGAAATAAAAATACAAGGGCAATGGTATATTATTCGGAATTCAAATAGTTCTTCAGATATTAGATATATTTTGCAAAGACACAGTATAACAATTAAAGTTCAAATGTACACGAACACAAGTCGTCTGATATAATATGAGGTATTATTCAGGATGCCGTTCGTCTATCGTGTTATTATCGGAGTATTTGAGACACAAATATGAAGGTTTTCATATAAATATGCCACTTTTGCTCCAGAAAAACAATACTGTATAAGAGCATAAAATCTATTGTACACGAACACAAGTCGTCTGTTATAATATAATGGATTATTCAGGATGCCGTTCGTCTATCGTGTTATTATCGGAGTATTTGAGACACAAATCTGAAGGTTTGTTTAGAAATATGCCACTTTGACTCCACAAATTGATGTGGGAGTAATACAAATAAGTTACATATCTGCTACAAGGAAATTGATACTGCTATTGGCAGCGAAAGGCCACAAGACAACAACAAATCCCACTACTCGACAAAATAATTCTAAAAATAACTTAAACGAAAAAATAAGGCCGCCTGAGCTCAACCTACCAAATGTGACATAGCCAATGTTGTCACCCACTCTGGCATCCGTGTTGGCCAATTCCAGTGGCGGTTCTCGGTGCGTGAAGAGCACTTGTGGGGCTGTGTGGGAAGCACGTCGCCCTTCTCTCAATTCCTGCATAAATACTTTGCCAATTATTACGTCGTCCTCATCCCGGAAGATAGTGCTGAAAACAACGGTGACCCGATCTGCCTTGGCCTCGACGTACCTATGGATGAAATGTAGTTGGTCATTGGTCAACCTTATTTGGGCATCGAATGCTTCTTACAAAGTCTCATCGTTGCGGTAGTTAATTACGGCACGCTTTTGTCCCTCTTCTCCTTGCTCCTGGAAGTCGAAATACTTTTCAAAGACAGAGGCAAAACAGTTGCGCTTCAGCAGTCCAATTCTCTTTGCAATTTGCTCCCAGTCGTCGGGGATTTCCTCCAGATTTATAAGTACAGAAACATTGTAGCCTAAAAACGCAAACCAATTAATTCCATAGTAACAAAGAACTTCAGCTCGGTTGCGTGCACAAACCTTCTTCTGTGTCAGTTAGCAGACTGCCATATTCACGCTTCAGCAGCTCATCAGCCCCATGCTCTTGAAGCTGTTTGTAGAACTTTAGCGATATGCTGATCTATTTTAGTGGATGAAAACAGCGATCAGTAGAGATTTCTCTCAGCCGAATGACTAGGAATACTTACCCTCACTTTTGTTTTATCGTTATTCACATTCGAAATGTGGTAGAGTACGCCATCGAAGTCTGCTATTCGTATGTCTATCGATTCTGGCTTCAGTCTGCAAAGTAGAATTTCAAAGATAACATTCAGGTAGATTAGTAATAGTACCGCAGTCCATTATCAGCAAAAACAATAGTTACGCACATGCATAAATATGTATGTATATATGTATATAAATTGTTTTCCATCAATCCGTATTTGTTTCAAACATAACAAGATAGAAAGTAGTAATATAAAACCTAAGCTCCAGGAAACCGATATTGTTTAACACCCTAAAATCTACTGTACACGAACACAAGTCGTCTGTTATAATATAATGGATTATTCAGGATGCCGTTCGTCTATCGTGTTATTATCGGAGTATTTGAGACACAAATCTGAAGGGTTTCATATAAATATGCCACTTTTGCTCCAGGAAAACAATACTGTATAAGAGTAAAAATCCATTGTATACGAACACAAGTCGTCTGTTATAATATAATGGATTATTCAGGATGCCGTTCGACTATCGTGTTAATTTTGGAGTATTTGAGACACAAATCTGAAGGGTTTCATATAAATATGCCACTTTTGCTCCAGAAAAACAATACTGTATAAGAGTAAAAATCTATTGTACACGAACACAAGTCGTCTGTTATAATATAATGGATTATTCAGGATGCCGTTCGTCTATCGTGTTATTATTGGAGTATTTGAGACACAATTATGAAGGTATTCATATAAAAATGCCACTTTTGCTCCAGGAAAACAGTACTGTATAAGAGCATAAAATCTTTTGTACACGAACACAAGTCGTCTGATATAATATGAGGTATTATTCAGGATGCCGTTCGTCTATCGTGTTATTATTGGAGTATTTGAGACACAAATCTGAAGGGTTTCATATAAAAATGCCACTTTTGCTCCAGGGAAACAATATGTATAAGAGTAAAAATCTATTGTACACGAACACAAGTCGTCTGTTATAATATAATGGATTATTCAGGATGCCGTTCGTCTATCGTGTTATTATCGGAGTATTTGAGACACAAATCTGAAGGGTTTCATATAAATATGCCACTTTTGCTCCAGGAAAACAATACTGTATAAGAGCATAAAATCTTTTGTACACGAACACAAGTCGTCTGATATAATATGAGGTATTATTCAGAATGCCGTTCGTCTATCGTGTTATTATTGGAGTATTTGAGACACAAATCTGAAGGGTTTCATATAAAAATGCCACTTTTGCTCCAGGGAAACAATATGTATAAGAGTAAAAATCTATTGTACACGAACACAAGTCGTCTGTTATAATATAATGGATTATTCAGGATGCCGTTCGTCTATCGTGTTATTATTGGAGTATTTGAGACACAATTATGAAGGTTTTCATATAAAAATGACACTTTTGCTCCAGGAAAACAATATGTATAAGAGTAAAAATCTATTGTACACGAACACAAGTCGTCTGTTATAATATAATGGATTATTCAGGATGCCGTTCGTCTATCGTGTTAATTTTGGAGTATTTGAGACACAATTATGAAGGTTTTCATATAAAAATGCCACTTTTGCTCCAGAAAAACAATACTGTATAAGAGTAAAAATCGATTGTACACGAACACAAGTCGTCTGTTATAACATGAGGTGTTGTTCAGGATGCCGTTCGTCTATCGTGTTAATTTTGGAGTATTTGAGACACAAATCTGAAAGTTTTCATATAAATATGCCACTTTTGCTCCAGGAAAACAATACTGTATAAGAGCATAAAATCTTTTGTACACGAACACAAGTCGTCTGATATAATATGAGGTATTATTCAGGATGCCGTTCGTCTATCGTGTTATTATCGGAGTATTTGAGACACAAATCTGAAGGGTTTCATATAAATATGCCACTTTTGCTCCAGGAAAACAATACTGTATAAGAGTAAAAATCCATTGTATACGAACACAAGTCGTCTGTTATAATATAATGGATTATTCAGGATGCCGTTCGTCTATCGTGTTATTATTGGAGTATTTGAGACACAATTATGAAGGTTTTCATATAAAAATGACACTTTTGCTCCAGGAAAACAATATGTATAAGAGTAAAAATCTATTGTACACGAACACAAGTCGTCTGTTATAACATGAGGTGTTGTTCAGGATGCCGTTCGTCTATCGTGTTAATTTTGGAGTATTTAAGACAAAAATCTGAAGGGTTTCATATAAATATGCCACTTTTGCTCCAGGAAAACAATACTGTATAAGAGTAAAAATCCATTGTATACGAACACAAGTCGTCTGTTATAATATAATGGATTATTCAGGATGCCGTTCGACTATCGTGTTAATTTTGGAGTATTTGAGACAAAAATCTGAAGGGTTTCATATAAATATGCCACTTTTGCTCCAGGAAAACAATACTGTATAAGAGTAAAAATCCATTGTATACGAACACAAGTCGTCTGTTATAATATAATGGATTATTCAGGATGCCGTTCGACTATCGTGTTAATTTTGGAGTATTTGAGACAAAAATCTGAAGGGTTTCATATAAATATGCCACTTTTGCTCCAGGAAAACAATACTGTATAAGAGTAAAAATCTACTGTACAAGAACACAAGTCGTCTGTTATAACATGAGGTGTTGTTCAGGATGCCGTTCGTCTATCGTGTTAATTTTGGAGTATTTGAGACACAAATCTGAAGGTTTTCATATAAATATGCCACTTTTGCTCCAGGAAAACAGTACTGTATAAGAGTAAAAATATATTGTACACGAACACAAGTCGTCTGATATAATATAATGGATTATTCAGGATGCCGTTCGTCTATCGTGTTTTTATTGGAGTATTTGAGACACAAATCGGAGGTTTTGTTCATAAATATGCCACTTTGGCTCCAGGAACATTTTAACACTATAAAATCGGGGTAAACTCTATAATAGTCTGCAAAAGTCTGTTCAGATCCCATGCTGTGAGCATGTACAATGCAGTATGTGATTGAGCTTGATTGATTCTAGAAATTACAGGTGGACGGATCTAATTCGACCTGATAAGCTCTACCAAATTTTACGGCCTTAAACAGGTCTCATTTATTATTATTGAGTTTTCAAACGACTTTTAAACTAGAATCGTTTTATTTTGTTTTGATAGCAGCGATGAGTCAGGTTTAGCGGGGTCAAGGCATTGCCGCATATGATGCACAAATGATGCGATAAATGAGCTGTAATGAATTAACAAATGCGTTGCCCGGATACCGAGAGTGAGAGGGGATCGGGCTATGGCACGTAAGAACGTTGGATTGTGCATGTAGGAGAGAGAGAGAGAGGTAGCTTGACGAGTGGATGAGTGTTCAGCATTCGAGCAACACCCGAAACTTTACTTCAGGGAAAGAGAGAATAGAATATGTACGGACTGATAAAGAAATCGGTGCTGATAACACGCGGTAGGGAGTGCAGGAGTAGTGTAAGCACATATATAGATAGATAAACCAAAATGGTGGAGCAATAAGGTCACATTACTGCGTTACAGTTATATGGAACACTCACCCGGCCTGGGCGTTGCGGTATTTGACCAGGAGTGTCTCCTCTATAATCCGATTATTGATTTCCAGCAAGATCATGATGAGCGGCTGCCTATAGACGATATATTTGCAGAATTAGGTTGCTCAAATGCAAAGCGATGACAAATGGTATGGCGTCGACGTCTTTCGCCGCTCTCGAGCTGCGATTGCGGTGGTTCTTCGTGCGGTAACTGTTTCTTTGCCAGTGGCGCTGTGTATGGGGAGCTGCTCCAACTCACCAACGCCAACTGTGAGCAGTATACGTGTGTGCGCGCAGCGTATTAAATGAATCAACAACAAAAAATGGGCGCTGATGTCGGCTTTTTTGGTCTTGTCACACACACACGCACACTATTAAATTCCAACACACGCACACACAATCGCAGCACTCTCAAAGTGGAAAAAACGCTTCGCTCTTACTCTGCTACCCCGTGAAATGGTTTAAGAGTTTCGTTGTACTATTTACTCGTTTATAGAATGGGTGTTGAGCTTTACTACCTTGTATTAAAAATAATTTAAGAAAACGTCGTGGGAGTAAGTCTTATTTAGTGTGACCGCGGATTTATCGATCAAATATACCGTCAGGGCCTCGAAAATATACTGAAATATAGTTTTTCATGTTCAAAATATACCATATATAAAACGATCAGCTAAAATATGCAAATTTTGTCCACACAATCAAGAGTTTATTAATTAATGAAAAAGTCAATTAAAGAGTAAAGCCCAATACTAAGCTAGCACATCTGAGTTAGGCTGGTTCATATTTTTCCTCGGTATTTTGACGGTATATTTAAAAATCGAAACGGTATATTTCGGTATATTTCATGGAACTAGATTTATTCACTGCCCAACACTAGTATTCTTATATTATTATTTACCGCAAATGGATGAAAGCGAACTTATCAAACTAATAAAGAGCTGCCCCATCCTGTACGATAAGGACAGTGCACGCAGCGTGAAGAATGCAGCGCTAAAAGACGCAGCATGGAAGTCCATATCCCAGAAAATTGGTGCCTCGGAAAGAGCCTGCATCACACGATGGAAGAGTATTAGGGACCGCTTCGGCAAGGAGTTTCGTCGCTTCCAGGAAAACCCTGACGTACCTACGTACTGGGACATGTTTCCGCACCTGTTGTTCCTCAAGGACCACTACAAGCACGGCCAGGTCAGGCACGATAGTCTAGAGGGTATCAAATTTGAACCCAAAGTGAGGAGAAGGCGCAACAGATTGTATGCGGAACACGAGAAAAATCCTAACGACGAGGAGGACGACTGCAAGGGTGATATGCTGAACGAGCTGATTGAGCTGGTCAAAATGCATCCAGTTCTGTATGACAAGGACCAGATACGCATTTCCAAAAACCTGTCTGCCAAAAACGAAGCTTGGCGGGAAATATCAGAGAGCTTGAATGTGTCGGGTAAGTGGCTGGATGGGTGGAGATGTCCTTGGGTACTAATATAACCCATTTATAGAGGTGCTCTGCTTCAACCGTTGGAAGAAGTTGCGCGAGCGATTTGCGCGAGAGTACCGCAACCAGCAGATTAATAGCTCGACACCCAGTACCTGGAAGTATTTCAATGATTTGCTCTTCTTGGACAAGCATTTTCGAAAGGGAGTTCCTTTGGTCATAGAGAACATCAAGAAACGAGGGCGCCCACCCAAGGCGAGCAATCAGACCGGCAGTACCGTCAAGCAGCCTACTAACGTCAGCATTGTAAATGGCGAACAGATATGGGGCGCCGATTATCCCTATAGCACAGATAATGACGAGCAAGATAACGATCTGGAGCTGTGCTACGATGAACCGGAAGATATTGAGTTCGCCCCGGAACCGGAGCAAACCACCGCCTACGATTTCATTCTCACCCAGACAGCAGCTCCCTCGCAGCAGCTGGCGCAAGATGTCAGCGTTGAGCTCTTACCATACAATGAGAGCTTTGATCTGCGCAGCGAGAGTAGCGCTGTGCGGAACGTGGCCGGCATATCAGAGGATGAGACGACCGCCGCCACATCGGATAAGCTGCTCGATCATGTTATAGCCAACATGGAGACTGTCCTGCAGCAGTCACGGGAGCTACAGACGCAGCTGCAACACGAGCAGCAACAACCACCCGCCATTAGAAGCCTGTTGGACAAGGCTCAGATGCTGCTGGACGGACTCAGCCCAGATCAACGGTCGAGTGCGATGCGAAAGATAGGACATTTCGTGCATCACTGCCAGATCAAGGCACTGGAGGGAGAGGTGATCGAAGATCTCACTCCATATCAAGTTTTTAATTGTTAAGAGAGTTCGGATGGGTAAATACATAAGTATAAATAAGAAATGAATTATCGATTTATTGTTGGAATTTTGAATTTTGTTATCGAATACCAGCTGCTTGCGTCGATATCCGCCAGAGGGCGCTTACACTTTCAAACGAAACGTTACGCACGGAAAAACAATAGCACCCACGCCCGAACATTAATTGCAATTAATAACACGCACGCACACGAACAGCAGACACTCAAGAAATGCTTAAACAAATCGCTGGGCATGCAATGATTTGAATTCGTTTAGTTTCCACGCTCTATTCGCACGCTGCAGTTGTTGGCTGGTCGGTCCGCTCTGCTCTGCTCTGCTCTGCGCTGTGATGTTCTCCTCCTTGTGCGTCAAAGAGCAGCCGAAAACATTAAGAATTATTGAAATAATAAACGGGGGCCAGGCCAGGCCAGACCAGACCCGACCAGAGCAGCAGCCGCACAAAACCGCTTTTTAAGTGTCTGCAAATGATTTTGTGCTGTTCCCCTCCACCCTCCACACCATAAACTAATTTTGTATAAATAAACGAACCGGCCAATCGTTTGAAGTTATAATATTTCGGGATTTTGTGTGTGTGTTTCTATGGTGTTAATGGAATGCGATGAGTCGCTTGATACATGAAAAAAGTGCGCCAATGTTGTGACACCTGCTGGAACTTCCTTCTCTTTGTTCTTTCACATTTTTGTGCGTCTTTTCCACATGCTTGGCAGGAAATAAGAGATTCCTGATGTGGGAACTTTCAAGTGGGAACTTGGTAAGTGCACTGGCAGACTGGTTTTACAGAAATTGTCAACGATATTGATAAATGCCACTGAAACATTTAGAGTTCAAACCTGCAACCCGATCCATTTCCACGCCACTCAACTGCTACTGCTTCTTGCACATGTGTCAAGCCTTCTATGGCCTGAAACATTTATAGAGCTGCCACTTTGTAGCATCATTGCAGGAGGTCAAACCATCAATCACCGTGGACGTGTCAACGGCGGAAACGTGCGGCAGGACAGCCACCGCTCCTTGGGCCCCATTCTGCAGCACACAGCACTCCCCTTGGTCTATTTTCCACTTGCAGTGGCAATTGTGTATGAAGAAAATTGTATAATTGCCAATTGCCACGGATTTACTCGATTGCAGAGACGCTACAGACGATGCACCAAATAATATTCCGCATACGTCGTGTGTGCCAAATTAATTGTAAAGCATTGCCGCGGCAGTGCCAACGTACACACAAATGCAATACACGTACACAAATATATTTAGAGGCTAGATTCGCATAACAATAAATCCAAACAACATTCGGTTCGCCGCCTTGCCTTTGGAGGAGCGCTTCGAGTTGTCTGTAAATTTGCGTGTGTGCGGCTCTGTCTGTCAGAGTGTTGCTGTGTCTGCATTGTTTTTTGGCATATGCAAATATATAAATATGCATTTGCATATTTACATGGCTGTCTTGGCTGTGTGTCTGCTGCGAGGGCTGAAAAGTCGTCTGCACAACCCATTCACGTTGAATGGGAAGAGCAATGCACTTGATAGATTGCTCTTAATTATGATAAATGGTAAAGGAATTGCTGGAAGGCATGAATTATAATTTAGTTATGAATGAACTCCACGAACTCGATAGATCGAAAGCAATCCACGCTTCTCCTTCGCCTTCTCCTTCTCTCTTCGTGGCCATCAGGCAGGAGCATATATAAGTGGCAGCTGCCTCAGTTGAAGCCTCATTACCGCAGAGCAACTTTATTGGCAGCCCTCGCATAACACATTTCCCACACATATTCGTACAACGCGATGGGCAAACACTTTTTCACTTTTCCGCTTTGCACCCTGCGCTCCTGCTGATTGCTTCCTTGTGTGCGTGTCCATATCCTTTCCGATAGGCTATGGTGCCAGACTGCACTGCAGCAGCATTTTTTGTGTAGTGCCTCGAACGTTGCGACATGTTCTGCATGTGCAAGCTACAACGCCTCAAACACTGTTGCAAGCAATTTGCAATAAAATTGAATGCAGAAAGGGGCAGCAGGCAGCAACAGCCATGGCCAAAAGTCAATCATGCAGCAGGGAGAGTAGGCCACTAAGTGGCTCTGGCAGTGCCACGTGTGGGTCCCAAATTCGTCTTCTTTTCGCTCAACCTACGGCCAGAGCTTTGAACTTTGGCGCCGCCATCTCCGTCGCTGACCGACGCAGTCGTGCGCATAAATTTCCATTCTAAAGGGAGAATGCAGTTCAAAAGACTCGCTTGCCAAAAGTTCAGATCAAAGTTTCGTCTTACAAGCAGTGTCCTTTCGCTTTTCGCTTTTCGCTTTTCTCTTTTCGTTTCGTTTATTTTCTTGGCGCTTTTACGCTGTTCCCTCCCCTTTTGGCAGCAATGACCCACAAAAGCATTTAAAATTTACGACTTGAAGGCGAATCTGCCTCGAAATGAATGAAGATAAAGTGCAGGAGCGGCCAAGGCGTCTTGGGCGCTGATGTCTGAGGCGTGGCTGGGGAACAGTGGTGCCCTCGAATTTAGTGGGGGTTCAGCTCCTTTTGAGTCCCATTGGAAGTCCAATCATACCCGAAGAATACCTCACATTTTTGCATAGTTTTTGCACTTATAAAGTGAGTCAATAAAAGCCAAGCGGACAGCACTGTTGGGCATGCCCTGGCCCCTCTGCGCCGCGTGTGTCAAGCTGCTTAATTGCACTTGTGTGCAATTACATTTAAGTAACTAAAAGGAGTGCACTTGGCTCACAATTAGCCACACACAAACATGCCACTGGGGCGGGGCAGGTTCCATCCTACTGGGAACTAGCAGCGGCAGGCATAATCATCAGCCGCACCAGACTGCTGTCAACAAAAGAAGCAAGAAAATGAAAGCATATTTACATATATGTGTGTACATGACATATTTATGTATTATTTTTCGATCTGCTTGCATTAGTTTTACGATTTGGAAACGGAATCTTCCAATTTCAATGAAAAGTCGACGTCTGCTGGCAGTCTATGGTCCATTGTCCGAGCACGCTTGGCAACGTTTCAAGAGCAAGAAATCCAACGCCTCTCTGCTGGACACAAAAATAAACTTTAAATATTGATTCTCCCAAAGTAAGGGCAGAACTTTTGCTACTCTTGACTCCATTTTTTGGTGATATTTTCTGTGGATACAATTTTAGTTGCCACAATTTGGCACCGCCACAAGCATGATAAGGTGCAATCCCTCAAATGAATTTCCGGATTAGC